GGATCTAAACACCAAGAAAGCTGATGTCTGGAACTCCTGCAGCTCTCCAGTAGCATAAGAAAACCAATGACTGCTCTACACAGGCTGGTTCCTCGGGGACAGCTGCTCCACTATTTTCTGGGTGGCTCTTTCTCTTCTTTCCCACTTTACTATCTTCTCCACAGAACACAGAGATTATTATTTCCTCCCTTCCCTTGCAGCTGGATCCTCTGCCCTTACATGGAACCAACTGTGCTTCCATCTGTAACCTTCCTCCACTCCATGGCTTCTTGCAAGCTGAACAGATGGTTGTTTTGGTAACACCCAGAGATGCCTCTTGCAGCCATTAGTGTCACAACTGGCAACTCAGCTGCTGCCCACTGAGTTTATTGGTGGAGGAAGAGGAAGTTGAGGTGGGCCTCTCCATGAATACAACCTCACTATGCTGATGCACACAGATAGTCTTATACATTGGTAAAACTTGACACAAAAATAATTATGAAACTTCTGTATACACAATGACATCAAAAATCATACTTCCACATTTGGCAGCACAGTTGCATGAAACAGTGCTTTAGTCACTGCATGGCTTCAGTAAAACATAGCGTAGAAGGAAAATGGTCAAAAGTTGCATGCAAACACAGAAATATTTTTTTGCAGTGTTTTGTCAATAGACATATTTGCACCAGTAATGTAGATGGAGCTGTTGAGGAGGAGGTAAATAAAGGTCACAGCAAATTTAAGCACTTTGTTTTACAGATCTTCAAGCTCACTGAAATAGCCTCATCTTCTCTTGAGTATTATTGCCATTTCTCTCACATTTCCTTTGTTCATCTGGGCTCAATCCTTACTACAGACAGATGGAGTAGAAGAAGACAAGATGAGCAGAATTCTCCTTGCTTCTATCATTACTCAGTTGTTTGAGAGACATAAGCAGGTAGCAAGGAGAAAGGCTGTAGAAACTGCAGGTTCCACTCAAAGAGATATAATTAAAGAAACAGTAAAATCTGAAAACCACTTACAGATTTAAATAAAGTAGGCATTCAGAGGAAAATGATAAAACAGATTGAAGACAGATCAGCAAACACAATTTGTTATCTAAAGTCACAAGAAATAGAGGATACTAACAAAAACTGAAGCTCCATGTTCCAGTTCTGCAATACAACCTGCCAATGTCAAGGCATCATTGCACTATGTATTTCTCTGCCAAAGCAATGAGGCATGGGAATTTATGTTGTTGTTTGTTGTTGTTTTGAGAACATGTATACCCCACTTTTCTATTACAATAGATATCCATGGCTAATTACATAAAAAATAGAAACAATCAAATGTTAAGAATGAAACTGGTACAGGAAAATTAAATTTGAAAGCACAAATCATTTTTTAAAAATAAAGCACAAAAGAGAAGGAAAATAAAATGAGGTATCATATGTCAAAGTCATACTGAATCAAAAGGTCATCAGAAAGTGATTTAAAAATATCATTGTGGAAGCTAGATGGATTTTTGTGGGCAAGCAGTTCTATAATCGAGACAGAACAACAAAAATGGTTAGGCTTTTAAATATACGACAACCAGTTATATTTATTATTTATTGTTTGATTCATTTATCCCACTTTTTTCCTGATAATAAGACTCAGGGCAGCTAGCACCATATTTAAAAAATGCAAATTAAAACCAATCCAAAAGCATTAATAAAAGTATAAATATAAGATTTAAATATAATTCAACAATCTATGAAATTAAAACTCTAAACATTAAAAATATTTAAATGCATTAAAAGACTATATACCACCCTTAAAAAAACAGAACTGCACAGCATTAAAAGCCCAACCCTGGTTAGTTTATAAAAGCCTGATGGCACAGAAATGTTTTCACCTCCTGTCAGGAGGACAGCAAAGATGAGGCCTCTCTAAAGAGAGAGTTCCAAAGTCTGGGATTAGTCACTGAGAAAGGTCCTCTCCCCCTTTCCCCAACAAATAAGTCTGAGAGGGTATAGTGGAACATAGAGAAGATCTTAGAGCTCTCTTGGGCTAATAATAGGAGATACTGTCCTTCAGATAACTTGGACTCAAGTTGTATATGGCTTTATAGGTCAAACCCAGAACTTTGAATTGCACCCGGAAACAGACCAATAGCCAGTGGAACTGTTGCACCAAGGAAATTGTGTACTTCCAGCCCTAGTTAACAATTCGGTTGCAGCTCTTTGGGGCAACTGAGGTTCTGAACACTTTTCAAAGGCAGCCCTACATAGAGCACATTACAGTAATCCAAATGGGATTACTTCAGATAGTGGAATGGATTACTTCAGTGGATTACTTCAAATCGTACATTCCAGTGGATGAAAAGTGTTTCCTCAGCCAACCTAAGCAGGCCTATGTGGGGAGTAGAAGGAGGCAATCCTTTAAGAATGTTGGCTCTCTCACAGACCTCTCAAACTCATCACCATGAATTTGAAATGAAACTGGAAACAGAGAAGATAATCAACAAGGCATTAGATGCCAGAGGCATAGCTAGAATATCAATATACAAAGGGATCTTGTAGCACCTTTGAGACTAACTAGGTGAAAGAAGTTGTATCATTAGCCTGAATCTAAAGAAGTACATCAGGTCTACAGACGCTTATGCTACAACTTCTTTCACTCAGGTCTTCTTTTACAGATAGGCCAAATGAAGCAGCTTCTGGATGCCTTGGAGAGATGGCATTTAAATGGTGCATGCCTCCAAAGTGGCCCAAAGCCCCCCTCCAGTCATTTGGACTGGAGCCAAAAGGAACTGGAATAATCTGGCTCCTAGTGCCGCAGGTTGGGTCCTGCAGCTGCAGCCCACTTTGGGAGCAGGCCATGCAGTCGGCATAGTCCCCACCTGCTTGTGGCTGAAGCAGACCCAGGCCACTCTTTTGTATACATCTGCTCCAGCCCTTAGTTAGTCTCAAAGGTCTACAAGTTATTAGATGCTTCACCAACCAGCTTGTGCCCAACTGCTACAATTTGTACTCATTTTGAACACTTTGCAAAGACATGGAGTAGTTTGTACTGGATCAGAGGTGGCATATCATAAACCCCCAAGATGCTGCTACACTATTTTATCTTTGACAGTGAGTTTCCTTGCATTGGAAAAAGAAAATTGAATTCCAACAATATCTGGAAAGCCATCAGTTCCTCAGCCTTGTACTAGATGTTACAGAAGCTGGCAAGAGGCAATTGATCTGCAGCACAGCATATGCTTTGCAAGCTGAAATTCCAAGATTCTAACAAAGGCATTTCTATTTATAGTGTATCCACACTGTACAATTATAGTAGTTTGATACCACTTCAACTCTCATATGATGTTATCAAACATGACCATAATTAAAGTTGGAAAATGTTACCGTTGGCAATACCTATCACATAACATCACCTCCAACCTAATGCGGCGGTGTGTCCAAAGCATGATTAGACTACACTTTTTTTATTGACAGGGAAAACCTATCAATAACCTCCCAAAGGTGCTGCTTTGCTATTAGTCCTCAGGTGCACTCAGTTCCTTCTGTGGCAGTTCCAAAATTGGACACTCATGTGTTGTCAGACTCCTCATTTTTTCCCATTCCCCACTCCTCACTATTTCCAAACAAGATAGGTTTCTTTTATTTTCAGTTTCTTTTCTTTCATATTTGTTTCACTAAATTGCATTACTATAATTGCTAAATTGCATTAAAAATAAAAATATTGAAAGGCATGCTGGGTAGGACATAGGGCAGGGAGGCAGAGTTAAGAGGGAATGCACAATAAAATGTGAGGGACAGTTGATGGCAGAAACAGCCCCTTTCACATTAGTGAAGTGACATGTGAGAAGGAAAGCTCCTAAACCCATTAGTATCTGTTTCCTTTTACTAAGGTGATGGCAGCAAGAATGAGACTGGTGTGATAGTTTCATCTTATGGCAGTGACATCACTAGGGGGGTGCAGGGGGTGCAGACCACTCCAAGTGACACCACACAAGGGGGATGACACCCAGCAAGTGCCACAGCACTCGTCAGGGAGAGAGAGGGGCTGGTGTATTCCCCATCCCTGCTCCACACAGCTTTACTTCTGAGTAAAGCCATGTGGGACAGGGAGTTGGGCATGCCCTCTTTTGGCTCAAGCCCTAAAGCCCTGCTCCCCACACTGGATGACACCCCAGTTTGGGATATGACTTTCTTATGGAATCCTGGGATTTGAAATTTGGTGAGATAATCAGAATTTCCTAGTCCACTCCCCTGAACTGCACTATTTGAGTTCTCCCACAGATAATTCTTAGTACTCCATAAAATTACAAATCCCAAGATTCCATAGGATAGTGTCATGGCAGCAAGTAGTATAAACCTACTATATCTGTGCAGTGTGGATATACTCTTCAATAAATCACGATATGTAAAATTTCTGTCTGAGGGTACCACTACCAGTGAGAGTAAGCAACACTGAGCTACGCAGACAAATAAGCCAATCTTGCAACTTTCTATGTAGACAGACAGACTTTCTAGATAGCCCAAATCTCCCATTTCTTGTACTACTTGGTTCAGCCCCAATTAGTTTCAGAAAGGTTATCACTACTAAGAACCAATGTAGTATTTATCCCTCTTTAGAAAGAGCACAGACCACCAAATCAATCCATGAGCAGAGAGTGGAACTGTGTTGACACTGCCCCTGAAGCTCTCTAATCTGAATCAGTTTGCTGTGTGCTTTGATATCTGCATGTAAATTGCAAATATCTGCACATACCTCACCAGTATACACAACATTCATAAAAGTGGCCTCACAATGTGGAACTCCGGTCATGCAGATTTGCAGATCACATGGATGTCTTTGTGAGTACACTTACACCACTGTAAATTGCCTGCTTGTAGAAATTCATACTATGCACAGAAGCATCAAGCAAAAGGATATGCTGGCACATCTGGCATGGTAGGTGGAGACAGTCAACACAGACCTTCTCCTCACTCTCATGTTTATTCAATACAGAGGATTTCCTTCTGAATAAGAGTTTTTGTTCCACAAAGAATTTACCCAATGTGGTATAATGGTTTGAGCTCTGGACTACAATTCTAGAGACCAGGGTTCAAATCCCTACTCAGCCATCAAAATTTTCTCATTCTCAGAAAAAGGCAAACCATCTTCTGAACAAATCTTTTCAAGAAAACCCCATGATAGGATCTCCTTAGGTCACCATCAGTCAGAAATTACTTGAAGGCACACAATAACAACAGCAATGAGTTGCAATGAACCTTGGGTTTGCACAAACTCTTCTCTTCTATCACAATTGCAAAGCAACTAGAAGCACTTCCCATGTTGTCCAAACCTTGTTAAACTTTGGTTAATGTTAACTATCATTAGTCCAAACAAGACAACTTCTGGTTTGTTTCTATCAAGCTCAGTCACAATTTAAATTAAAGATCAATCACAATTTAGGGTTTGGATATCACACTTAAATACAGTTAATTGAATTGAAAGTTTTTGTTCTCTGTCTGCCAGCAAAGCAAGTTGCAGAGTGAGACTGGTTTTCTAAATGCTAAGCCATGATCTATAATTGTGTCCATTCATAGCCAACACTTTGAACAAGTACTAACCACAGTGTAGTGTCCATGCATGGCATATGTTCTGCAGAACTGCACACAACCTTTTAGCCTATGTGATGCAGAAAGCAGTAACTCTTGATTCTAAAGTTCATAAAGCTAGAAGTTAAAAACTTTGTCCTAGCAACCATGAATATGCAATCATTAATAATTCTTCCTACTGTATACAATATTAATCTATATGTACCTTAAAAATCTGGCTACTTCCTAGACTTCAAAGTCACTTGCATTTGTTACAAACCCTAGAAAGTGCTTCAGGATTCATTATGACATGCGGAATATATAAGCAATAAGCCATGACAGGGAGTGTGGTTATCATAAGATAATCACACCCCAGGGTCATTACAAAGCAAGAGGTGCAGTCGAGTACCTCTTATTCCCCCTGGGGGGTGATTATATCATGATAGACACACTTCACACTGTTACCTTATTGCTTTTATAAAAGTCTTTGTTGAGAAGAAAAACTGTATTTTTCCCCCTTAAAGATGATAAAGTTGGCAGTTTACAATGTTGAACAGGAGTTTCAGCTAAGCTTGGTGGTTTATATGTATTAATCTACTTCATTCAAATGTACATCTGCCAAAGCCAATCAGAATTCATCAGCCCAGGAAGGCTTCCATTATTCAGCATGTGTTCAGATGATATATCTTTTGTAAAAACTATGGATATCCCAGATACCCAACTATTTTGTGCCTGGGGTTGACTGAGTGAGTGTACCTAGGAAAAGGCAGGGAGGTGGGGCATGAACTAAATTCAACCTAAGTAGAAAATGAAAATTATAAGAAGGCCTAAATAGCAATCTAAATTCCTAGTTCGGTATCTTTTAAATAATTGTGCTTCAAGAAGAATATGTCTTAAATTATTTTGAAGAAAATATATTTTAGATTATTCTGAGGATTCTCATATTATATTAGCCCTGTAAATTCTTTTTTTTTTATAGGCTTTCAATCAAAACCACAGTCATGTCAACTGGGGAAGAACTGTGCGGCAGCAAAAGTTCTTTCTAGTCTGGACATTGTGCTCTGCTTTTTTCCTGATTTTATTTGGAGAGCAGAGGTTTATTGAAAAAACTTGTTCTCTCCAAGATAGCCAGAACCATTACCAATTGTGATGAAGTAAGAAAGCAGTTTCTTCAAAAACCCTCTGCACAGATTCAAACTGCCACCAGGTCAGCCCTTTGAAGGAAGAAATGCAAAAGCAGCCATACCCTCTTGATCTGAATACTTTGATCCTCTAAATATTTTGAATTTCAGCTCCCCTAATACCTTATCATTGGCCATGCTTGTAAAGTCCACATCATCTTGAGCAGGGGTAGGCAACCTTTCCCCTTTAAGGGCCAAGGGACTTCAGCTCCCAGAAGCCTCAGCCATGTTGGCCAATAGTCCCATGTTGGCCAATAGCTCCTGCGATTCTCGGAACTGAAGTCCCTCGGCCCTTAAAGGGGAAAGGTTGCCTATCCCTGATCTTGAGGATCAATGTTTGGGAAGTATTGCTGCATTTGGTTTGGCAGGTGTACTTCCAGGAAGGGGTTACTTTCCATGATAGTCAGAAAGCTGTGTACATAATTTGGGGTGGGTGAGGCCCTTTAGACATTTGCATCAGGGCAGTGCTATATTCTGGTTCTGTCCAGCTGCCATTTCTCGGGGGGGGGGG